TCCCGCTAAATCGATCATTGATAATTTAACTGTTCGCTTAGTTCCGGCTTTTCGGTCCGTCATTCGAATATGCACTTGGAATATAGCATGCGAACGTGAACTTTCTGCATTGGCATCTGTCGGATGTTGGGTGCGATTTGAGTTACCTTGCGTCAGAAGTTGTAGAAGCTCATCGGCGCTATAAATTGGCTTTAAGACAAGTCCACTAACAACAACTCCATTCGAATCCTCTCGTAGTTTTAATGGCCCAGTTTTGGTCAAAAGGTTCATTACTAATTCGTTGTATACCTCCAAATAACTTACACCTACATCAAACTTATGAGTCGCACTTTGAGCTTGGATTTTTTCAAATAATTCGCGCATAGTTAGGTATGTTAGGCCTGGGCAAGAGTCATTGCCTAACATTGTAAAAGTTTTCCCTGCTCCAGTGGCACCATATACAAATACCGAACAGTTATACCTACCAAGCATTAATACGCATTTTTAATTGAACTTAAATCATTTACAGAAGTTTATATACTAACCCGTTGAGAACAGAAGCAACTAAAGGAGAAGTGCATTGCTCAAAAATTTGTTGATTAGTTGTTCCTGGGTCAAATACACTATCAAAGTCCATACTAATTTTTTTGTTCACTCGTTTTGTAATGTCGCGGTAGTTTTGCTTCATTCCTTGGAAAAAGAACTCATCATCTTCTTCATCTGGATCAAAAAGGAGCGTGCTATTGTCCAACACTTTGACAATTTGACGCTGATTCTGTTCCAACTCCCTTCGATTGTACGGTCGCACGCGCACAACCACTTTTATATTGGTTTGCTCTCCTGACATTTAATAGATTTTTTTTGTTTATGAGATTATTAATATTAATTAACTTCAAAATAAGATAAATTTCCTTATAGCGGCTTGTTTTTGAGTGGCAAATTCGCTTTCTACCGCAAGTTTGAAAATCCAACTGTTTTGATGTAACAGAAGGTTGGCAGCATTGATTTACCTTTTTCACCAATGCTGCCACATATTTATAACAAACTGCTAATGAATGTTAAAAGCGTGGTTAGACGTAGCAATGCAAGCGCTTTCTCTACGAATTGTGGGAACATGTGCAGACACGTATATTTTCGAAAAAAAAAAAATAAACTCGTAAAGTCTTATGGCCTTATTCATAAAAAATAAAGTAGGTTTAAAGAGCTTTATAAATTGACGTTTTCATACATTTTTCAATTTATAAACCTTTTATAAAGCTACTTTATTTTTTATGAATAAGGCCATTAAACTATGTAAAACTCGTAAGTTTACGAGGCTTTTATGAAACCGCCCTCTTTGCGAAAAGGTGTAAATAAGTGCGTAAAGTGACTGTTGGACAGATCAACCAGGATTTTGTGAAGCGAATTTGTTTCGTAGAATTTTCCATAACATCTCGCCATCTTGTCTCTATCACTCTTGGCAAAAATACAATCAAATATACCGAAAATTAGTAGATAACTTAAGTCGATATAGTTAGTGGATGAAATTCATTCATTTATATAATTTTTTTCATTCATTTTTATTATTTTATCATACATTTTAGTACACAAATTTCGGCCACTCGACAACACTGAAGTTTACGAGGTCGTTTGCGCATCGAATTAGCCTCGTAAATAGAGCTCCATATAAATTTTTACAGTTCTTTTACGAGGCTCGTAAATTTACGAGGATTACGAGGTTTTTACGAGTGTAAGGGTAGACCCCTAGTGGATCCATATTGATGGATTAATGGATCGCGCACGAATGCTACATGTTCAATATTTATCGGCTAAGTATTTGCATAATTTTTGTGCTGAAAGCTTATTATGACGCAGGAAAATATTTTTATTTTGTACGTATAATTTACAGATTATGCATTCCACAATTATTTTAAAATTTCCAATGTTAATTAAAATTTGTTTTGAAAGATTTTAAGCCCAGAGAGCGAAGGCAGAGCCGATGTTCGCATTATGAGAGTGAAAGCCAAGAATGATAGAATACAAGATTGCGCCGATCAGAGAGGATTTTTGAGAATAACTTTTGTGTGACGTCGCACTGGTGCAATTGCGAGAGCGGAATGCCAAAACGTGAGCAAGAATGGAAGATGAAGAAAAAATGTTGCAAGGAAAACGTAAACAAGTTGCACAAGTGTGACGTCATGCAAACAACGATTCTGTCAAATTCGTTAAGAGAGGAATAGCGGTCCGAGATCGGCGCAACCTTTGTATTCTCTCAATCGTGAGTGAAAGCTTTACTGACGAAATGTATGGGTCACGTTTTGAAAGTGCTACACGTTCAATATTTACTGACGGTATTGCGATCCGCGATCCAAATTTAAAATTTTTTAGAAATTTTGCGATGTGGATCACGATCCATCAATACTGCATGGTACACCGTCAATAAATATCGCGATACTTGGATCACGTCAATAAATACTGACCATGTGACTGGGCACAATATCAAAATGATGTGTTTGTTGTATAAAAGGTGATTCATATTACAACAAACACATAATTTTGTTATTAAGGGCCTGTGCCAATCGATAACTTTTTTCTCCGTGGTGAGACGGGGTGGAAAAAATTTGCTATGGTGTACAAATAAATTGAATTTTGCTGTGCCAAA